TGGAACTTTTCTATTTATTTTAGACTTATTTTTGTTTTCATTACTGAGCTCATTATATATTTCCGTGTTTCCCGCTACAAGTACAGAGGCTTTAGCTTTTGATTTCTTCAAGTTATTCTTTTTAGTATTCTTGGTCTGTAATTTCTTCATAAAATTTTGTTTATTTGTTTTAATTAATAAATTTATTGAAAGATCATTTATTTAATTCTTTTTTGTTTAGTGAATGGCACTAAATTAAATTCATATTCACCATCACAAATAAAAAATCCTATTCTTTCTATTTGAATGTAATCACCTCTTTTATAATTGATGACATCACTTTCAATAAGCCAAATAGATTCTTTTTTTGAATTTCTATTAAATTTCTCTCCCAAATCTTCACTATCCTTATCATTTTGTAAATTTCCATATTCAAATAACTTTACCATTACTGATCCTTTAGCACTGACCCATGATATTTTATTTTTAGTTAATTTATAATCACCTTCAAAATTTTCTTTAAGTATAATTTTAACTACCTTGTTATTTTCAACTATCTTCTCTTTAACTAACACGTTACCACAGTGCATTCAAGTAAATTCTTCATCTTTTTCAAGTATCAAAGCATCTTCTTGTGAAATAAATATCTCAGAACAATCATCAATTACTCGGAATCCTTTACCATCAATTTTAGGTATTTTTATTGAAGATTTTTCTAATTTTTTATCATAAACACATCTTACCATACCTTCGAGTGGTACTCCAGCTACTCTTGGACTGATTGAATCAATATACTTTTTATTTTGAGACCATAATTTATCCCATGAAATAACCGATGTCTTTTGAGATGCTCCTTGACTAATTATGTAATCTTTTAATACTTTCATAGACATTCCTCTTCTTTTTATACCTCTAAGAGTAGACAATCTTGGATCATCCCACCCATCTACATATTTATTCTCAACGTAGAATTTAATTTTCCTCTTTGATAGCACTGTATTTTCAAAATTAAGTCTTGAAAAATCTTGAATCTTTGGTTTATTTTCCAATTCAAGTGTATTTAAAACCCAGTTATATAACTCATTTCTATCTTTATATTCATTACTTCTTAATGCTAATGTCACTCCATCAAGTGAATCAACTATTGGACATGCAAAATCATAAGTTGGAAATATAAAATTTTCTGAATCACAATCGATCTTTCTATAAATGACTGGATCTCTCATTGCTGTATTGAGACTATCATATGACACTTTTGCTCTAAGACAACTGTTTAATTTTCCTTTAAGCATTTCATTAAATTTGGTCAAATTTTCTTCAACATCCGTATTTCTATTCTTAGATGCTATTTTATTCATTCTCTGTTCCCTCATTGTTTCTAAATCAGTGTCTTCAACATATGCTTTACCTGTTTTTATCAACTTTTTAGCATATTCTTCTATTTTCTTAAAATGATCTGATGTTCTAACTAATTTAGAATATTTTATGTCTAATAATTTTAGATCTTCGAGTATTCCTTTCTCAAATTTAACATCTTCTTGTATTGGATTGGTGTCATCAAATCTTAACAACATAGACCCTTCTTTAGCCAAATGACTATTTAAAACTGCTGCTTTTACGTGACCAATATGAAGAAATCCATTAGCCTCAGGTGGAAATCTAGTAACAATCTTTTCTGGTAATTTAAAATTAAATTTACCGCTTGAAAGTCTATGAAATTCACTCATAATCTTTTTATTGTCTATCAACTTCTTTTTATAAAATTCTATAGTTGATTGATAAACACAATCTTTATTCTTTGAATCTTTAGGAAAAGTTGTTGAATACAAAATACCAAACAATAAGTCTTCTAACTTTTCATTTCCAACACCTTCTTTAATAAACTTTTCTATCTTATCAAAAATTTCACTTTGTTGTGTAACATTCTTTTCTGCATTTAAATCTAAAAGAAATTTGGGTGCATTCATTTCTTCGATATTCTGTGATAAAATGTTAAATTCATGCTTTTTAATTCCATGTTTCTTTTCTAATAAAAAGTCTACTAATTTAGCTTTTGAGTGATCTTCTAACATAAGGGCTTAAAATTTTTTAGTAAAAATTAATTAAATTTTAAATAAAAATATAGTGAATCTTGTAAAAATTAACTATTCTGAAAAATACTATTTTGATTTTCTGGTTTATTTATTAAAATTTATTTTTATTTTACTTAATTTTGTCTAAAAAGTATTTTTTTAACAAATATTAAAATAATTTTAAAGTTTAAGCTTAATAAATTAACCAAGTAATTCTATAATCTAGAATATTCAATAAAATTTTTAGTTCAACGAAGTTACCAATACTTTTATAATTAACTTGTAAAAACAAAATTAAAGAAAATTTAGGTTGTATTAAAGCATTCGTTTTTTTTAATTTTTTGATTTTGTTTTGACTAGTACTCACCGATAAACTGATTTAAACGATTTTTATTTTGAAATTTTATACATAAATTTGTTTTAAAAATTTACCCTTTAAGATTACTGTAACTAATTTAAATTTTACAAATAACATGTTTAAAGAACTAATAACTGCTTTAAATTCTTACTTTACGCTTTTTTAATAAATAAAAGAAATATCTAGAATAAAACATAAAGACTAAAAAAAATATTTTTTTATGATTAAGAATTTTTAAGAAATGTAAAAATTTAAATAAATAAGAATTTATATTTTAAATATACAAACAGGCGGTCAAAAAAACACAACTAATACAAAATGACATAGAAAATTTTATTTAAAGATTAATTTTCTTTTATTTATATCAGTAAAAATGAGTGTATAAATAAATGTTATTATTTTAAAGAAAACTGTTTATTTATGGTTAATAAACTAATAAAAATTTTAAACAGCTGATCAAAAAATTTGTAACTCAAAATTTAATAGTTAAAATAACTACCTTTAGATCTAAAAAATGCTTCGATTCTTCTTTCCATAGAGTCAATACAAGTTTGGCAAACCTATACTGGTATTTTGTACCATTCCTCTATTACTATTTCCTCTAAATCTTTAACTGATTTTGGTAATCTTTTATGAAACGTGATTTTAAATATTGCCTGAGATTTTCAATCTAATTAAGATCTGAACTCCGGAAAGACCAATCCAAAATATTGATACCATTTTTTCAAACCAATCATCAGTGATATTAGCTTGTGATTAAGATCATTATATTGCTGGAAAACAAAATTTTCATCCAAGCCTTAATCCTTAGCTGATTTTTTTAGACTCTTGTTTAAGATCTTAGTTTACATGATTACATCCATATTTCCTTTAATTATTTCCAATCAACCTACACTATTGTATGAGAAACAACCCAAAGTTTAATGTTTCCTTTACCATGTTTTACCGTAGGTGTAAGGTATTTATTAAAATATCTATTACTCCTTTCTCTTCTCACATAAATTCTTCCATCAGATCAAAAAACATTAATTTAAGTCTCACCAGAACAGAGAATTTGTCTCAAAAAATCTTTTTCCAATAAATTAATTTTTGAAAAATCATATATTTTTTATTTTTATCTGAAAGCATTAGTTTTTTACAGGAAATTAAACCATCAAGATTGTTTTTACTTTATTAACGTCGAATAATACAAAGAGAAACCTTGATATTCTTTTCATCTATAATTTCTTTAGATAATTTTGTAGATCCTATTTTAGGATTAGTATTAATATTGTCTTTAAAAATTTTTATATCACTTTTATCTAGTAATTTAGGTCTCACGCTTCTCTTTTTACGTAATACACTATTGTTTTTATTAAATTTAGATATCATCCTTGATATTGTAGATTTATTAACATTAAATTTTTCTGCTAATTGAATTTGTAAATAACCGTTTTGATATAATGAATAATTCGCATTTTATTGTCATGTGATAAATTTTATATCATTGAGAGGGAAAAAACAAACTTGGATCGTTAGATTTGGAGGGAAAACTTTTTTAATTTTGAGTTACAAATTTTTTGATCTGGAGTTTAAAATTTTTATTAGTTTATTAACCATAAATAAACAGTTTTCTTTAAAAAAAACATTTTTTTATATAACCACATTACTAATATATATAAAACAGAATTAATTTTTAAGTAACATTTTCTATCTCACTTTTTATTAGTTTTGTTTTTTGACCGCCACTGTATAATTGGATTATTGAATAAGCAAAATTTTTTATATCAAGCAATAATTCTTTACATAAATAACAGTTTTTTATTATATTTCTCTTAATTTTATAAAGAAAATTTATATATGTTATAAATCTTTTATTTTACTATATTTTGATAAAATTTCAAAAAATACCTCCCGCTTATTTCAATTTATTTCAAAATGAATTTAAACTTTAAAGATTGTAACATATGTAAATTTTAATTTTTGAAATGTTTCATTAGTGATAGTATTTAGATTATTCAATATTAAATACTTTGATTAAATTTAACCGATTTATAAATTCATTTATATTTGTTTTTAACAACATTATAAAATTTATTTAAGTGATTAATATAATAACTTTCTACAATGATTGTGTTTATACTATGAATATTTTTCTGTAATAAAAATCTAAGTTTGGTTTTTTTATAAATAAAGAAATAAGAAATGTTTTTTTAATAAAATCAAGCAATTTTGTTCTAAAAACAAAAACTTTTAACTGTCTCACTATCAACGAAAATTAAAAAACAAATCTTTTTTAAATTTAAAAACTCTCAAACTTAAATTTTTTTAGGACTTATGTTATTCCTGTATGATTAGAGGCTTTAGATAGCTTAAAATCATTTGTAATAAAATAATTCAATCATCTTCTTTTATAAGATTTTGTTTATTACCTTAAAAAGAAAAGATAAAATAATTCTTTTATATTTCAAAAAACATGATAGATATCAATTATACGTAAAACAGATGATGACAATTTATGTAATAACCTAACAATTTAATCATAATGCCTTTATAAAATAAAACATTGTTTTTTAAAGATCTTAATAAAAAATTTTTGAAAATTTAATTTAACTGTATTAATTTTCAAAAAGTAATGTTAATTGAATTTATTGAAAAAAATATTTCCATAAAATTCCAACGATTAAAGGCATAAAAAACATCATCATCATCATTATTATTTTTTCTTTTCTTTCCTTCTTTTCCTTTTCTTGTTTATACTTTTTAATATCTTCTGAAGAAAATAAAATGTCAAAACGTAAGTTATCAAACATAATTAATAAC